TGAGGCCAGTTGAAGCTTTGCTAGTTGTGCTTCCGTTAAGAAAATCAACCACTGAGTCAGAAATCCGTTCAGGAAGCAAGCAAAAATGAACGTCAGAATCGCCAGCAGCATGCTGACCACCAAGCAAAAGGGGCGCTGGTCAAAGAAACAAACGGAAAAGTTAAGCTAACATATCCCCAATTACATAGCGAAATGGGGCACTGTACTGATGATTCCCACCCCACTTCGCACCACTTTAGTCGTCTGTGTTTACAGTTCAGGAATGAACACACAGGCGTCACCCAATGCAAATACCGGCTAGCTTGAATGAGATTGTAAAATTTGGCTTCTTCGCAGAATATCAAATAAACATAGTCGACTATTCCATTCCTCTTCTCTCTTGTCGTTGTACTTTGTCAGCAGCAATGCTACACTTTCCGACACTTATAGGCAGCTACGTAGCTGCAAAAAACTTGCCTACGAATTATTAACACCGATTCCTAAAGCAACTGAGGCAACGAGAAACAATCACAAACAACAAGCTGGATGCGTAATCGGATCCAAACGCCTCTACGGCTAGTAAAACAGCACGAGTTTGGATCCAGGTAGAAATGCTTCACAAATTCTGCACGAAATCCCGGAGTACCAAAAGCGTCAACGGAAAACAGAACAGCTAAGACCCACGAAGCAGGCACCAAAACTGCCAACGACTAACAGAACAGCGAAGACCCACGAATCAGGCACCGAAATTGCCAACGATTAACAGAGTAGCGAAGACCCAAACGAAACCGGTACCAAAATTGCCAGCGAAAAACAGAACAGCTAAGGCTCACGAGACGTGGTTGCTAAAATTGCCAACGAGTACCGGAGCAGCTGAAGTCCATAAAATGGGCACTTTGTTATGACGTAATTCACGTGTGCAGACGTGGCGGTGGTTTGTCGCTAGGTGGTTTTATTGATTGGTTCCCTGGATTGGGTGTGGTGTCGGCTGAGTTCCATGGGGTTTTGCGTAAGGAAGCGGGATGCGGGGCGTTTTTTCGTTGATTGTACTACTTGTTTATAAGTAACACTTGCAGGTAACAGTGTCCGCGCTGGCGCCAGCACTGCCAACCCATCGAGGAATCAGAAGACCGAGCGCGAATATTTCGCGAAACAAGTGATGTGGATCACAGTGTCACACAGACTATGGTATGTGTTAGTATTCTTAGTGATTTTTTGGC